ATTTTTTTTTTTGCATTGAAAAATTGTTTAATGTATTCAAAGACAAATTGGAGAATGCTATGAGTTTACACCCTGTAAAAAGGGCTATATAGTAACCACATGACATACACCAGGAGATAATACGCCATTTTATGGAAAATCTTACCTGCAAGCTTAGGCCCAGTAACAAGCTTTATATGGTAACTTGGAGGATTGCACTTCAACCAGCCAGACAAAGTGTACACAATTTCCAACTCACTGCCATGTTTTTCAACAAACTCTGCAAGCAACCTAAACAGAAAACAATCATGGGTTTCCATGCTTGTAAGTGTGAACTTTAACTACGTTCTTGGAGAGGAAAAGTTCACCTCTTTGCAACATTTGATGACACCAAAAAGTTGCGACTCAGCCACTTGTAGGAAACCTGAAAATGATACTAATTTTTATCAGAAACTTTCTCTGGTACAAAACTTTGCCGAAGAAACTAAAATGCATAGTTATCACTATTGCAGGTGAATGATGTTAATTTTGAAGGGTAATTTAAAAGGAGAAAGGAAAACAAGAAGAATTTTAGAATTTAGACTTTGCCCAAGACTGTACTTTTTGGGTAACACATAATAGGAAAGGTACTTTTGATGAGTCTGACATCAAATCAGTTAGTAAAAGACATTTTCAGCCTCTTAAGAGTTTGTTTAGCTAATTTTAGCATTCAAGCCAGGTACAACTTGGAAACTTAAACCTCAGCTTAAAAACATGCTTGTTTCTTGGATCCTTGATTTCTTAACAAGCAGCAGATCCTAAGAAGATAATTTCTTTTAGCATTAGGAAAAGATTGTCTCTTGAGGCTCAGCATTGCAAACAAAATAAATAAATAAATAAATAAATAAAAAGTTGTTCCAACTACAGACGTTAACCAATCTTATTAATATTACCCACAATTTTTTAACTTATTTTATCAAAAAATTTTGCCTACCAACTACAGTTATCATCAAATAACCCATGTTTTGATTTCATCGCACCACACAATTTCACTCGATTCACAGAGCTTAGTATCCTGAAAGTGTACCACACTATTATTCATTTAAATTCCAAAACCACAACGAGAAATAATCAAGCCAAGGGAACCCCCACTCCAAAACTCAAAAGAAAGAGAGATCTCGACATTAAGGCCATTTTAGACCTAGTTTACTCTGAGATTAAAAAGGTGCTCCATTTGAGGGATACCAAGAAACCAATTTATCAAGCAAAAGTATATAACAAGACAATTCAATAAAACACTCACCAAACAAGCAAAATCAAAAAATGAAATCAAAATAGAGATAGGGATTGAAGGTGAAGAAAGCGAAATCAATACTTACCACTTGGAGTTTATCAGAGACCAGAGCCTGGATCTCTTCCAGGATACCTAGGGTTTCTATGTCCGCCATTTTTGCTTCAGGGCGTAATTTTCCCGCCATTCTTTCCCTGGTGGGTATTTAT